GATTATCTATAAACTGAACGTTAAGTATTATCGTGTTAGGAATTAGAAATTATTATGTTGCATGTTACAATTAATTATTATCTTATAATTATGCTTTAAAATTATAAATATTGTACTATATTGCAGGTGCCATTGGAATATTTTGGAGGAGATAGTATTGATTACAATTCTGCTTTCAATACAACTGCATTGTTTATTAGTGACCGCTATGCTATTAGAGATGCCAAAAATACGGCACTTCTTAATGGTTTCGAAATTGTTATTTCTTACTCGTGTGGCTGAACACATATTTCTTACTTCGTTTCGGCTTTTCCACACGAGTCGTGTGGCTGAGTCACACGACTCGTGTGGAGGCACACGAGCCGTGACACATCATTTTTATGGAATATTTGAGTTTAAATGTAGTCTAACAAAAATATATAATGCACAACAATCCCATTAATGTTTTACAATAATAATAATAATAATAAAAAAAAGCATTCATTACATCTTTATTTTGAATTGGCGTAATCCAACTTAAGCTTAGCCAATTTGTCTGCGAAGTGCGCCGCCTGCACAGAATCACGAGTTGTTAAACCTCGCAGACAGTTCGATGTAATGCTGATAGCACGGTCCATCCACTACAAAATATTGAAGAATAAAAAGATATAATAAGTATTTATTAAAATAAAAATTATTCTATTCAAATAGCATTAACTAAACTTTAGCAAACGACTCTCGTCCGGCAGATTCTAGCCCAAGACAGTAGAATGGGAAACCCGACGGTACCACTGCAAGTACTCCGAAGTCGCCTCCTCTCGATCATCTGTGGTGACCGTATACATATTGGTGTTGACGGTCTGCGATGTTGGGAACTGGTTCCACATATCTACTGCAACGACATCATGATGCTCAACCTTGTAGAGCCTTGACTGCCAAGCACGGTTTGCAGTGATTGGCGTGATTATAGGGGGAGGGATGGTATGGACATACCCCAACTGCCACAGAAACCGCACAGGATAGTACGGCTCGACAATATCGCGGTACCGAATCAGTCTGCAAAAGAGTCATCGACTCTATCTCATATGGCCTGGAGCTGCCGTATGGCGTCCATTGCACATGTTCACAATTTCATAAAAGCATTTATAAAAATATTTATATTATTTTAAATAAAGAGTAACTAAATAAAATTACTTAACGTACATTGGAGGCAGTGAGTCTGTCAAGTTTCCGACGGATAGACATGAGACGTTGGTCTAACCTTTCACCCACCCCTGCGCTCCATATTCGAGATCGTGCGACATCGTCAGGTCCGAGGGGTAGACGCCCCCCTGGGGTCGGAAGTCGGGGAAATACTCATATATCCACGACTGCGGAAGAGTCAAGCAGCCGGACAGTCCATGTGAGTCTCCTCTGCTGGCAATACCTAACTGTCGGTACAAATATGCCAGCATAGCCGATTCCCATAAGTAACCCCAACGGTATCCAAGCCGTCGAGCACCTCAGCTAGGAGCTTGGGACTCATTTTACTACCACTCTTGTCAACGAACAATGTGGTAGCCAGCAGCACCCAAATCCAGGCACCAGCCTCATCCGAAGCCAATTGGCCTTTACCCTTGAATTTCTCCACAACGGAGGCTTCGGTCACCGAACTACGCTGCCAGAACGATGTAATGAGGTCAGGCTTCCTGATCGAAAATATCTCCATACAATAAGCCTGGCAGGCCTCTGTATCCGGGTCCTCAACGACCACGGCTCCCTCCACAGGAACCCAAAATGGCCCGAACATCGTGCATCATAATGCTCATTTCACCAAAAGGCAGATTAAACGAGTTAGTATCCGGTTGCCATCGAATGCAGTAAGCAGTGGAATATCCAAGTGGCCGTGCATGGAGTCTACCAGATGTGATAGCCCGGTATGTCTGATCGGATCAAGTGCCTCGAAAGACGTATCACCTCGCAAATCTTTCAGATTTTCCACAGCTTGCTGTCTGTTTTGGCATTTCAGTAAGCCTCGCGTCTCTCCATTCCACATTCAGGAGGCTACGTGCTCTAGAAAGCTATGGATCAAACTCCCATGCATTGGCCCAACGGGCACTGAACCTCTAACGATCCATGCTGCCTCATGATCAGTCCGTACCTGCATTAGAATATAACATATAAATATATAAATACATATATTAAATAATGTCACTAACAATACCGATAATTTGTTATTATTAAGTCGAAATATTAATGTCAAACAACAATAAAATACGTAAATTATTTACCTGAGGATCCAGTGCTAGCAAAACACTCCCCAGCTTGTCGTGGAGGAGCAGGCCGAACATGAGCCGCAACAGACTGTGCAGAAACTAGGGCTGAGCATGGGACTCGGAGAATTTCGAACCGTTCCGAAAACCGAACTGAAATCACTCTGAACCGAAAAATAACCGTTGACCGTTTGACTTTCTCCGAACCGAGCCGAACCGAAAAAATAATTGGTACGGTTCTGGAGATTTCACAAATATCCGTACCGAGAACCGAACCGAACCGGCCCGTACCGTACCGAACTGAAGAACCGAAATTAAGAACCGAATTATAACATTAGATGTGTTACTAGTATATTTT